GTTGCCTGTTGTTACCTGTTGTTGAACATCACTTGCAGTATCTTCGCACAGGACCCTTCCCGTCATCTGCTCCATGTACCGCTTGATGTACCCCTCACACTGTGAATGCTTGAGTATTTCAAGTCGCAGATCTAACACCTCATATTGTAACCTTTTGGTGCCAGCCAACAGTTCCTTATTCCTAGTGGCTTGCATTTTCAGAGTCGATTCGTCCTGCTGGTTCTGCAGTTTTTTTTTTGACGGCATCGTTTTGCTGCTTGACGATTACGTTTGAGCAGCAGTTCACGATGGGTAATGGGCATTGATATTTTTGATAGTTACATAGTTGATTCGGTATTAGAGGGGAGGCTGCCATTTATCTGTTCAGGCTTCGGCTTAGTATATTCTATAGAAGCGATGGAGCTTTCTCTATCCTTATCCGGACCGGTGGGTTGTGTTTTTATATCCAAGAAGATATATTCTTCCGCGGTCTTCAGAGTTTCGGTCTGTCTCAAGGCTGATAGTACAATGAACGATAGGCTACATCTCTCATTCTGTGATATTTTCTGGTTGGGTTGGAGGGGAGAATATGGTTATATTGATGATGCCTCCAAGCTGAACTTTACTGACTTCGGGAAGATCTGATTGAATTCTCCCGGTGACAAAACTGGCGGTGGCGAAATGAGGGGTAAACCGCAAAAGGAGTCATCTTGTGCCTGGGTGGTGATGGTGTCGAATGGGATAATGTTCACGTCATCGGGGCGTAGACTGTCGATACCCTTAAGCCACATAATGTTTCTGAGATTCCCCATTGTTATCGTTGCTATTTCCGACTCAAAATCCAAAAACTTACGGAGAGCTCGGATTATTATGTGCTAGGTTTAAATAGGCTAAAGAATCTTTTGATTTGCCTGGCTATATAAGTAGTTCACGGAAGAACTAGCAATGTAAGCCACGGCGGAATTTCGTTATATATGTACCAGTTTATTGTAGATAGTGGACGAAAGTTGCTGGACGAGCCAATAAATCTACAACCATTTGTCACGTCATCGTACAAAATAGAATCAATTATTTGCAGAGAGGCAAGATTTCAATCCAGGAAAAACACGTCCTCGAATTTCCCCGCACTGTCCAGTGACTCACTCTCTTAGGACTTTCACAGAAATCGACCGGATATTTAGGCCATCGAGTGAGAAGACTCGGGAGCCTAGTCACCTACCTCGACCCCTTAGAGTTTGCCTTCCTACTAGACCAAAATACAAATACATATGTATTGAGCCTAGTGGGTGGGGTTTACAATCAATCGCGGAGCAATACGCAGGCTACAGAAATTATGTATTTCCATGCACACACATGTGGGTTTTAACTACTAATTTCCTAAAAACGAACTTAGAGCTTCGTCAAATCTTGTCGTGACCGAATTGCCGTTCGCGTTGTTAGGCTGCCCTCGTGGCGCGCGGCTTCGAACTCGTTGTGACGCCTTGGCGAAGTCTAGAACGGCCGCGACCGTCCTAGCCCGGGACATAGCTCTCTAGAAAGTTGCTACAACATCGAGCCTCCGTCACTAGTGATGTGATGCTACGAAAACGTAAAAACCGTGAGGGGCCCACATGAGCGTGTCACCTTCAGTTTATCTATTGAACTACAACTCCAGGGTGTAAAGCAAGAGGTGCAAAAACGCCAGCAGATGAATGAAGCTTTCCAAAAAGCGCTCAGGGAAATCGGGGGAATCATTACTCAAGTCGCGGACGGAGACCTTTCCACAAGAGTCCAGATACATCCACTCGAATAGAACCTATCATCTTCGTTCCGTCACTAATATTTCAAAGCTGATGTACAGTGTGAAATAATGCTGTCCATCAGCTTCAATCTGGTATTACAGCAAATTGTAGTGTATTCAATACACTGTATATAGTTATAGACTTTTCTGAAAAACTCGACTATGAGCTAGGGGTTGCATGACGGCGCAATCAATTTAGGTTGCCAATTCAAAAACTATGTTAAAGTGTGCATTATCTGTGGAAGAGTGTATCCTTTCTTTACACCGGTCGCTCCTTTGTGCGACATTCCCTTGGTTCGAGCTTTGTCACATGCTCTTTGGCGATATGCTGTGTCTGTTAGCAGGATACATAGCCGTAATTTAATGTCGCACTATTACTTACATTATTGGCGCTAAAATAGGAAACGAATTATCAGAATATCAACGATAAAAAATTCATTCTTTCTGTTGGTATCACCAGCTAGGTACCGTGTACCGTGTACATAGTTAAGTGAACAGTTTATGCCCTTAAGCAAAAGTTGATTGATTCATGCACAATAGATGCAGGTATGTATGAGGCCCGGTCCAAAATACTCCTGAATCCCATACGCCGATACTCGGTGGTCTCAACACCGGTGCCGCAGCTTAGCGCAGGGTCACCCAGCACAGAAATGTGATCTATTAGTCCCCAGCGGTAAGTTGCCGCTAGCTTGTTCTGACAAAAGGATATGTCCCGACATGCAAAACGGCGCTTTTGTGGTTTCTTAGACCAAACCTTATCCGTATTCAGTGGCAATAAGATACGAACTCTGCGATTTGCTGCCCGATGGAGTACGTATAATAGTAGATAGAGATAGGTCTTCCAAATTTCAGTTAGTCTTCAGCTCCGAAATGCTCTTTAAAACAATATAACCTCCAATACTCGTCCATCACAGATTAAGACTATCTTCTCTGTCCACGGGAGTTTTCTACCAAGGAGACATTAGCGGTTGATGGAAGGACCATCACTACCCCGCCAGCTACCTGCCCCAGTCGCGTGCGACAATTGCCATAGAGTGAAGAAAAAGGTACAATACGTAAAATTTCTAGCAATTTGCAGCGGACTAATAATTATGGAAAACATATAGTGTAATAGGCAAAGACCGTGCTACATCTGTGTCAGGGATCGCCAAACCTGCCAATATACGAGAATCGATGGAAGGAGAAGACATGAATTGGCAGCTCTAGTGGATTCCTCTTCAAGGGAGATTGAACGCCTTGAAGCCATCATTCAAAGGTTGAGACAGCATAGTACACCTGCTGGGCAACCACCTGACAGCCAAAGAGAAGAGGGTCTCGAATCATCAGACACTTTGCAACAAGAAGTTGTGCATGAAGATATGCCTATAATTCCTCCGACTATAGGTAGGTCAACCCTGCTTGGTGCTGGCTCGGATACTATGCCAACAGAGAACACCACTTCCCTCGCAGTGAATGCCTACCTTACTCATGGAGACCCAATTTTCCATGTCATCCCAAAAGAAGATTGTCTTTATCTTATTGACCAAGTCTATCACAGAAGCAATACGCCTTCAAATTCTGATATCTGTGAGCTTTTTGCTATCGCTGCTGCTGGATGTCACTTCAACAATATCCCGAACCGTGACGTTATAATGTCGAACTTTATAGAGCATTCATCTGCCCGCTTGCTAAATGGATCAAAACATCAAAATTTGCAAAGGATACGGTCATATCTTAGTTTATCAATGTGCTGGGACCCTGCTAGATCGCCCACTGCGAGGGTTTTGATAGGTGAATTCCAGCTAGGCTATGTTGTTGCTTTTATTAATTTGTGACTAGCATCCGCCCTACATCTAGCACGTTCGGAATTGCCGAAGGCACTACCAACACAGCCTTCCAGATTGCAAGAATGGATCAGCTGGGCGAGGGATTTTCGAACGTTGATTTTTTGTGATTGGTGCGTACAAATCTTCGACATAAAGAGCTAAAATTGACGTGCTTTCAGTTGGTCATCTGTTATCCTGAAAAACTGTGTTGACGTCACCGAGGAGGAACAGGATATTGTAAGCAGATTATTCCATTCCAGCATTCACAACGGATATTTACTTATAATTTACTTATGTAGATTGAGATTCTAGCTACCATAGAACCTCAAGCAAATGGTGAAGGCGTCGTTGGATACAATTCAATACATGCGCAGCTGACCAAGATTGCCTTACTGAGCGCCCGGACATACTCTGATGTCAATTTCAATTTGCTTTCGTGGCCGGATGTGGAAAACCTTTCAGATACTTTAGATACGTGGCGTCAGGATCTTCCAAGCAATCTTCGCCTAGTATCTGTATTATTCCAGAACAGTGGAATAACTTTGACTGACACACGAAATATTATGGTGATACACGTCTTATATATTGGATCTCGATTGATTGCATACCAACGCAAGCTACAAGAATTAGGGGTCGGTGGGGCTTTGCGCATTCCCGAAAATGCCCTAAATACATATGTTGGGTTTTCTAGGCAGATTTCACGCATTATCTCTTTTACGTTCCAAGATGGTCATTTCGTGAGATGTTGGCTCGTGATGTGGGTTAAAGCACCTATACTTGAATAATACTCACTAATAATTTCCCAAGTCATGCCAGTTATTTATCTGCAATTATGTTACTATTGGGTATATGCCAGAATATACTTCAGCGAACAAACATTGAGGCCCTTTCGAGTGACCTGCTTGCTGTTCAAGAGAACTGTAAAATGCTGGTTAGCGTAAGTGAATCTTCAGCCTCGGGTTTATCATTTCTTCAGCTTCTTGAGCCTTTATATCTTCAAACTAAAGAGGTTGTAGAAGTTGTCTCTGGAATGACTGGTATGCAAGGAGGTGATCCAATGCGTATCAACTCAATAATCTATGGCTCCCCTTCATTTGATTCTTTAGTGCTTGTGGTTCTTATGGGTGAACTTATTGACGCACTCAATATCCATTCTATCACAGGACTTGAATAACCACCAAATAATTCCTGACGAAAGGAATGTCATCACTACGCTTCCTCTTCAATTAATAGCGCATCTCGCTCAACCGTGCTAGTTCTAAATTCAAAAGGGAGTGCATTTCTGCTGAGTGATGAAATTGTGAGAAGTCTTAAACCTGAGCAGACTTTGGAGATTGAATTTAGATCACTCATCCGACACTCGAATATAATTGAGGTACTAGATAGCCTCTAGATGAAAATAAGAATTTGAAATGATGGATTCGTTTTTGGCAATTCTACAAGGAAGATGAGTTTTGACTCAATTCCATCATTTCAAGGTACGTAGAGCTCTCACTTAGCTCTAGGGATTGAATAGTGACATTCACGTAAGCCATCAAGGTAACATTATTTGACGCATTGTCAGTGGTGATTGTGAGTACTCGATCTGTAAGCTCATTCTGTTGGAGGAGTTTGATTAGCACCTCACTAAGATCCATAGTGGAGTGGTTACCCGAGAGATGCTCAAAGCCAAGAAGGAGCTCTTGGTACTCCCAGTCATGGTCAATAAAGTAGCCAGTAACCGCAAGCTTTGGCCTTATCATATGTGCTCCTAGCACCTATTTCGCAGTGGCTGTCATACCGAACTCGAGCCGATATCCGCTCGTGGTGATTTTTTGTGACGCGAGCACGACGCTATGCCTTAAGATATTCCAGGGCGACCTGAAAGCGTGTTCCAAAGCTTCATATCTCTCCGAAAGATCACGTAGAGTGATATTTCAAGTCCCGTTCTCGGAATTATCCTCCTAAACTGGCAAGCTAAGGCTGACGAAGGGCTCCAGGACACTGTATCGGTGCCAGCTGCTGAGGCAATGCGTGGTGTTGTGTGGGAGGAGAATAGTCTCGGAGCCGTCGAGGGATTGAGATGGGAAGTAGGCTGGTCGATGAGTCTGCATACCAAATTATCTACACGATGTTGAATCTGTCGAATATTCATCATCGTTGAGAACAAGTTGAATGAGGCCGCAGAATTCATTTTGACTGGTAGAAACTCATGATTATGAGAGTTGACTCGACGCCTTGTTGGTGTTTCGACTGGTGGTACCTGCGTCACGAACGTTGAACCGACGTTGAAATCCTGGAATAAGACATCAGAATAGTTTTTTCATCGAGATGAAAACTGCGGTGCCAACCGAACTAGCATATAATCAATCGTGAAACGGTTCAACAGGCCACGATATGAGGGCCCTCGATCACAGCTGCGCGAGCGACAAGGCGGCCGCAGCACTATAAATATGTCCCCCAGACCCCAGCACAACAGTCTCTTTGAAAACACGTTCCATTCCGCCTAACCCTAAGACATGAGCTGTTTCTCTTCCACCTTGCCCTGCTTTTTTACTGACGCGATTGAACATATCAAGTCTGGCCTATGCCTTGTGCCAGGACGAGATGGCACCCAGTGGCACAGGTCTGTGCCGGAATATGGCCTGCACCTTGGATCTTCTTTCTGTGGTACGAAACCTGATCTCTGATACTTGTGATTGTACCGACGCTCACAACACCGCCTCTAGCTTGTCTATGCTCGATAGAGAAGTACGTTCATGGCAGGTATGTGCATCAACCCTGGCACTTGACACCATGCTGACCGGAATATTCGTTGACAACCAGGCCTGTTACTAGTGTTCCCACGAATAGAGTCGACGTCTCTCCCGTGCCTGGATTTGGCAGTCTTACTCAGTTTATGAAAATAGTGAGTGAAGCAGAATCTCCAAGTAATCTCTACTGACTATTTATGATAGATCATGCCGAAAGCGGCCCCGCACGTTGATTGAATGCTGGCATAATAAGCCCAATGCTCTCCGAGAGCTGGTTGGTAGGATCTTATCAGTGGGGCATCGTGGCTGGTAATCCCAGGCCGACGATTCTCTAGGTTTGTAGGCAATGCTTCCAGCACAAGCTTCGCGCGGTTGGTCAATGTTCCCGGTCCTTCCATCGACGCCAGCAGAACCACACACTATGGAGTCCATCCTGGCGCATTGCCATTGTGACCATAAGGTTCGATATTGGTTCCCAGTTGAGACTTTTTCTATTATGACCCAGAAAGAATTGCTAATGTTTCCTTTCCCTTGCAGGTTCAGTGTTAATATTGCGCCCGACGCGACCGACCTGGGCATGACACGCTGCATCGCGTGAAGTCACCGTATTGCCATACACCCACCTGCCTTGCTCGAAACTCAGCCTGCGGCACACGAGCCCGATGGTGCCGGCCATTGACTCTTAGTACAGTCGCGCTCCCACCGGCCAAAGAAATCTGGTTGGAACGCCGCCGCTTTGCTCGACCTATTCAATAGGCCTCGATTGAGGAGAGCTCGGCCCTCCGGCTGCCCAGAAGGTAGTGTCAGGATGAGGAATTAATGTACTGGCTAGTACTGAACATGTCCAATAGGATCAGATGATTGATTGAAGGTTTTATGAGAGCGGTTCAACGCCCTCGAGAGTCTGTATCATGCCGATGCGGTGTGTTACGACACCATAACTCCGAGTCTATTCCGAATACCATACGATTACTAGGGGAATTGAGCGGATGATGAACATCCTATCCCAAAAGGTATTAGTGGTATTTAACCATTCCTTCAGTTCGACAGGTAGTACTACCGAAGGTGTGTTTGCGCCTCCTGGCCTTGCCTTTTCAACTCGATGTTAATAACTACCATACGAACAGCCACCATCCTCCTCATGTCTCCCGACCCTTTGCCGTCCCTACGTCCATTGAAACCCTTTTTGATCGACCGGATCCGCTTCCGTGCTGGACCGAGTGAGCTGCCGTCCGCTTCATGTCTTACTCTAAAGACCTGGTATCGAACTGCAAGTAACAGTCAGTTAAGTGGATAGAAAGCTATACCCGTTGGATACTGGACTAAATTGAATACCAGTGAACGTAGGCCGGGCTACATAGATGGATTAATTCCAGTATACAGACGGAGAACGTGAGTCTTTAATTCTTTGGATTCTCGTTCATTCACCAGCTAATCGCCAACAAAAGATCTTTCGCTGCATTCCTGAAAGGGGCGCTATAGTCGATTGGGTCGTGAGTTTCGCGACCTGCAAACCAAACTAGACACTACACCAACGCCGCCACCTTCCCATATTGAAGGAAGCCTGTGTTCTATTGCAGCAAACGATGGTCCAGCACAAGCTGGAGGTACCAGGGTAGCACGCAATGCATTCTGACAGGACGTGTCTGCAGTGGATAGCATTCTATGGCGGTTTTCGCTTTCCTGAAACACCGCTCTTGACATGTCGAACTACCATGGGCTTTCCGAGAGCATGCTTCATCAGCCGGTGGGGGGGTATGTCCTCATCAAGCCATCATTCACCCTAGGGAGACCGCGCGTGTGGCCTGCCATGCGCCAAGAGGACAACATGTCGCAATCCTGGGATAGCACTACTGCTCGAGCGAGCGCGCCGGGATGCCCTACGAAACCCGAGCCCGATATGCGTAGAGATCACAGCAAGATGAGAGAGGGTCGTATTGATGCACAACCTTATGGGTGTCGGTCGGTGAGCTGCGTTTCATTCCCCTCCAGTGGCCATTAAGTATGAGGCTGATGAGCCTTGTTCCACCCCAGAAGCGCAAAAGTTTCTTGCACGGCATGCTGACCACTTAAAGTGTGCAAGGAATAAAGGGCGTGCACGCCAAGGTACAACCCACGCCGATTCCTGAAACATCAGTGCCCAGGCTTAAACTCCCCATTCACCAGTAGGCTACGACCTGCACCCGCCGTATTGCCGAACAGTTGCAAATGATATATGGCGGCCTCCGAGTAAATAATCAATCTGTTGAAAGCAACCCATGCAGTTGAGCACAACGGCTGTTAAATTTGACGGAGCTCTCTGAATAGGGCGATGGGGCTGTACTCGATCGCATCTGATCAGGCGATAGCTGCATGGATCTGAACCCTCAATTTCACCCACTGATGGGGCCACCTTCATGCCTGCCACTTCAGTGAAGAGTGTGTCAGTGGAGATGCACTTGGTCAGCTGGACACAGCAAACATGCCGTCTGTAGAGAGCTGTACAAAGCTGCTCTCTGGTAAAATCACACTGTGGTACCAATGGATTACCCCGATAAATGAAGTCCTTCCAAATAGCCATTCGATGGCATCTCTGGCTGATTTGTCCCAGTGATGGCCAAACTTTTCAAGGCGATGCTTAACCCTAGTTGTGCATGAGAGAGTTGATTTCCCGTCTGGAAAAATGAGAGCCTCTTGAATAGAGTCGCGCTCCCGCCATGCTCTATTTGAAAGGCTCTCATTCCCTATTTCACAAGCAAAAGCATATGTGCTAGGCAGCGTCGCCGCGGGATTTCAACATACAACCATGGGAGCCATTTGAATAACCTCACACACTTGGCAGATGCCAGGCTTCCGACACCGATTACAGCGCGCATTATCGTTGTTATCTTCGGAGTCCGAGTACAGCCGACGCCCATCCAGGTCTCCTCTATCTGGTGACACCACCGAGGATCAGTCGTTGACCCACCCAATGACAGTGGGAAAGGAGTTCTACCAATGCGGCAATGCAGAGGATATGGGTCACAGCTCGACCTGCCCGGGAACAGCAACATGTTTGCTCTCAAAAACGTCGCAGAGTTAGTACTAGTGCCCCCGCACCGGATGCAAGATTTGCACTGACCGTATTTACACTTCAAGAAAGTCAGTTTTACATTGTCCCTACAAAGAAAGGACGAAGAGCTGATCGCAGCCCAGGTCCCTAGAGAGTTCATTGACGAATCAAAGCAAGTGGATCAAAGATGTTCGCAGTGATCTTGCAGATCTTTTGGCCGACTGGCGGTTATTGAAACGCAAGTAGAGAAAAGAATCAAATGTGAACCAAATCATGCGTCAGATGAACCGGAGCAGAAGGCTGGGCAGACCCGACGTTCGGTGAAGACGACCTAACGATGTTGGATAGGGGTCCTGAAGATATTGTCGTGCGATTATTCGATGAGGCGGCATTGTAGTAATCTCTTTTTGGTTGAAGCATTTCTATCGCGTTTCTTATTGTGATCAATCGATAGTATGTTAAAATTGCCATAATCAGCACACCTTCTAGAGGCGGCAAAAGGCGATTCAACGCCTACAGTGCAGACAATGGAATTGTGTAATCACGTGGGGGTACGTAAAGAGTTTCTTGGTGAATCAAAGCGAATAGAAGGAAGATACAGAGATTTACTGTAGACGCATTCGCCAGCACCGTGGTCTACCCAATTGGCCATATTATCATACCTAGGAGCGAAAAAGGTTCAATCCGGTTCTGAATTTATCCCGATCTAAAAGTCCAGGACCTCATTATTCTTTTCGATCTTGAACGACAGCCATGCCGATGCCGCATTCTTCAAATTGGGCAAGGGTCGAAGGAATTACTTTTGAATTCAACATACAGGGAATTTGATATTGAAGAAACACTTGTAACGCGAAGAAACACTTGTAACGCGAAGAAACACTTGTAACGCGAAGAACACAACCGATTTGGGGAGCCTGAGCTCTTCTCACGATTAATCGGATCTTATTGATGGATAATTGGTTTACGAGTAGAAGTCGTGCTTATCTGAGAAACACCCATAAACTGAACAAGTACGGAAGCTTTCATTCTGCTTGACCTCTCAAGCTTGAGTGACAGCTTCGCCTCAACCAACCAAGATCTTCCACTCATCTGTTATAACATGGAGAGGACGCCACCACTCTCCGATCTCTATTATAGTGAATCGAATATGCAGCTCTTAATCCTTCCATGCCATCAGACCGCTCTCAAGGACATCTCATCTCCGAGAAAAGAAATATCACCTTATATATGAGAAGCTCCCTCTGGGCGGATTTGAGGTGTTATGGGAGGAACAACCAGATAAAAACGATCCAGGAGCCATCCATCAAAAAGCAATCTGTGTATTATTCGTAACTGATTGGGCGGACTGTGTTTGGCACGGGCATACGGATTCTTGAATGCCTATTTGTGATGATAAAAGTGCCTCTAACCCATTACTTCCCAGAAGGGAGGGGGTTGAGTGGGATACATACGTCAATAAGGAGTCTGAAGAGACGAGGAAAATAATTTTGGTATGTGGAGAAAGAGCGCTCAAGGCGTATAATATTTGAGGTACTGCAGTATCTGTAGCAGAATTAGATGTTAGTATGTTTAATCGTGAGCCTAGTTCTGGAGACCTAGGCCTCACCTTCTACAAAATAGTATAGTGGCTGACACACTGGACTTCCAAGATTCGCTTCAATGGAAAGCGACCCCGGGCTAGAAAACGCATCTTGCATCACATCAACTTCGTAACTTCTTTCTATTGGTAATTGTGCTCCTGGTGATATGCTCAGTTCCGAGGGCGCCGAATATATTGTCTCATTCACGAAGCCTCTCCCGTCAGCAGTACAAGGTGTCTGATCAGCAAGCCATCCCGGCGATTGTGCGAAATTCAAATCACCAACCCATGAAGGCGTTGATATTAGGTTATAAGAAGACATGAATGGCACGGATTCTTCCATGGTCGTGGGCGATGGGTCATAGGAGTTGACGTTAGGTTCATTATACTGATAGGATGCATGGCGAGGTGATATGGGAGCGGAAGGTGTAAATGGCTGATCCCAGCCATTTAGAGCGGCTGCTTTTCGAAGCTCACTTGCGAGTATACGCTCTCGGAGCGTGGCGATTCGATCTTTTATCCTGCGGCCTGATTCAATAGATGTCAGCTTTGCTCTCCTATGGAAGCATCTAGATCGGAACACCAACGGTGGTTCCTTTGTGATATCCTGTTTTGGAGTCGACGTCTCTCTAAGGGGTCCTGTCCTTTGCTTGGAGCCTCGTCGCTGCGGGGAGACTCTGATGGTTTGTCGACTCTCATTGCTTGTTTCTTTCGTAGAAATCGTGGGTATGTTGCGCCTTCGTGTTCGGAAAGTGAGATAGGCTTTTTAGCTGGATATCCTCAGGTATCAGAAACATGCATCAGGAGATCAGAACTAAACATATAGGGTCATTATCCCTGTCTTTGTATAGGCTAGGAATCCGTGCACTTCCAATAGAGAGATGCAGAGGAAAAACAAAGATTGCTGCCTCGAGTCAATTGTGCCGTGACATGCACCTTCACGACGGATCCACGGAGAGCCAGTAGCTTGGTCACGAAACCAGTGGCAAAAACTCGAAATAAAGGCTCACATCAGCGTGATGCCCGGGGTCCATACACAATGCACTTCTCAGATGACTCACCTTGATGAGTGGAGAGGATTTTCGTCTCAATGATGGCGGATTCTCATTTCCTGCGTAACGGTGCTGAGTCTGTTTCACGAGGATATCCACATCTCAAGGTTAGTCCTGGGATCATACAGTCACTGGACACGTAGCCTGTCCTGGATTGAAGGGCTACTGGCGGTCTGGGATATGGCGTAGCACATGAGGTTAGAATCTCGAAGGCAGCGTGGGAATTTCATACGCTGTCTCCTCTTGCTGGAGCCACTTAGGCTTACTGGCTGTCATGCTGTATCGAGGCAAACATGTAAGCAAAGTACTCATTGGAAATCTCAACTTGGCTCTATATTGCTATTAGACTGGAAATGTGGCTGATCAGCGTTCATTTGTGTGAGTCTCCTGAGGGTTTCCGAGTCTCAGGGCATCATCGGCTAGCCTAGAAAGATTTGGGGTGTCATGTGTTCAAGTTGAACAAAGGAAAGTTGATGGATATCAATTTCTATGGTCTCGATGAGCATTTATACCCAAATTCTCCAAAAATAGTCGCTCTTGCAATTTTTGTTCATCCTGCGTGGATATGTGAACCAAAGTCAAATCCCCCCTCCCAGTTGAAGCATATCTACCGTATTCAGTCGCCGGTATATCCAAGCCAGGAGCAGCTGCCCAGCCTCTCTGAGAATCCTCAGCAAAATTACGTTAGCGAGCTTTTCTCGGTTTGATGGAAAATTGTCTACAGGCTTGGCCGTACCAACCGCCCATTGAACCGTTACGTCCGAATTTGTTCCAAATGGCAACTGTTCATTGTCTGAAGATTATTTGAAGATTGTCGCCTCACACCTAGATTCCACACGGTCTGTTCGATGTTTGGAACTACACGGGCCATTAACAGGATATAGCGTCATCGAGCCTTCTCCAGGGCCCGTAGAATTCAAAGAAGAGAACATAGAGAGGAAACGAAAATCACTAGTATGTACATTTAAAATTCCAGAGGAAATTCCCAATGATTTGTGTTCTAGGGCAGGTTTATTACAGCAGATCCTGAAGCACCTGGGCTAAACCCCGATGAGAAACTAGATGAACATTTCACCACTCAACCGCACCCATTTCGAATGCTTGATTGAACAGCCAGATTAGCATGAGGCGGATGAGACAGGAATGACAGGACTAAATTCAAACTCTAAAGTGCCGAAAGGGCTATGGATATCTAAACTGTCCTAAGGGAGATTTCAGCGTAGTAGCAAATTTTCATCGGTCCGAATTTGCGTAAGCGCACCCATCCTTGGGTACTGTACTAAATCTGCACTGTCCTATTGTAAAGGCCCGACCTCTACACCATTGGCTATTCTTGTATACTGGGAGCACATGCAGCGTGAATTCTCACGCCTGGAAGTGGCTCTCTCTTCTTAAAATCTCATGTGGGCTC